CATCCACATGATTAACAATTTTTACATCCACATGATTAACAATTATTACATCCACATGATTAACAATTTTTACATCCACATGATTAACAATTATTACATCCACATGATTAACAATTTTTACATCCACATGATTAACAATTATTACATCCACATGATTAACAATTTTTACATCCACATGATTAACAATTATTACATCCACATGATTAACAATTTTTACATCCACATGATTAACAATTATTACATCCACATGATTAACAATTTTTACATCCACATGATTAACAATTATTACATCCACATGATTAACAATTATTACATTCACATGATTAACAATTATTACATCCACATGATTAACAATTATTACATTCACATGATTAACAATTATTACATTCACATGATTAACAATTATTACATCCACATGATTAACAATTATTACATTCACATGATTAACAATTATTACATCCACATGATTAACAACTATTACATCCACATTGATTAACAATTTTTACATCCACATGATTAACAACTTTTACATCCACATCATTAACAATTATTACATCTACATGGACGCAGTTAGAAAAAGGACTCACAAAGTTGTGCCAAAAATACATTTAACAGGAACAGATTCAGCCTTACGGGAGGATATAATAAATAGTGTAACACACAGAGCTTTTATTYATAAASRGATAKAATTTTCTGATGACGAGTGGCTCATCAGCCGTTTTGAGGAAAAATCATTTTTCAGTTTGGCACTGCTGCGCTCTGGGAGTAGCCACGTGCGCCACGCGTGCATGTGCAGCAGCAGCGATTGAACTGCGGTTCCACAGGAGCTTTCCAGAGGGAGCTGGCAGACCCATCAAGACTCAGTCCAGTCCACCCAAAGCTGAATCATGACCAATGGAATCGTCTCATCCATATGATTCTAAAGGCTGAGTTCTGGTCGAGCTCTGGAGTGCGCACCCTCGCCGGCAGTGGAGGTGTTTCATACTTGGTGTTTACGTTGTAGATTTCTCCAAAATGACACGTGGAAGTACACTTTACAACTTGTGAAAATGCTGTAAGTAGGAGAGCAAAAGCTTGACATATAAACAAACTGCACACAAAGGCTGCGGTGCTCGCAGTGTTTGTGGAGACTCTCCAACATCACGTCACGTCATGTGAACTCTACTGAGGCGCAGAGACTCGTTTCTTCATAGCAGCTATGAAATAAACTAAGATCTATGTTCTACCAAACATTTAAGTTCCTCTGTGTTTATAGTAATTATGGTAATAAACTCGTGCGCAAAGTGATGAGCCTGTTGCGCAACACAGCAGTTTGTGTGCACACACACATCGACACACAATCACTCGTTCTTTGCTTGATAAACATATTTTATTCCTATTTTTACTTAGGATTTTTTTCTCACTCACATTATATTTAATTCATTATTTTCCTGACTCTACAAATCATTTCTGATCACGCAGGGATCACTCAAACGTGTCCTTCAAACATGCAGGAAGTAATTAGCATCTGTTTAACATATGTTAATGAAGGCGTGTCAGGGGAGGTGTCTTACCTGCGCTCAGTTCCACGTTAATTGTGATGTACAAAAGAAATGTGCGTGGATTCAGGCGTACGCAAAGTTTGATACATCTGGATTTTTTTGTGCGTACGCCGTTTTCTGGATTTGACCGTACGTCACGTTTCAGTAAGAAATCTACTCAAGTCTTTGTACATGAGGCCCCAGGTGTCTCTGGTGAACTGGGAGACCTGTCCAGGTGTCTCTGGTGAACTGGAGACCTGTCCACGTGTCTCTGGTGAACTGGGAGACCTGTCCAGGTGTCTCTGGTGAACTGGAGACCTGTCCACGTGTCTCTGGTGAACTGGGAGACTTGTCCAGGTGTCTCTGGTGAACTGGAGACCTGTCCATGTGTCTCTGGTGAACTGGGAGACCTGTCCAGGTGTCCCCTGCCTTGACCCAAAGGCAGCGAAGACAGGTTCCAGCCCCACCCTGACCCTGATTAGGAACAAGGAGGACAGGAGGAGGATTTTTCTTTATARCAGGAAACAGACTTTTAATTATAAAACATGATTTATTTGATGTTAATCTGAATCACGTTAGTGTTATTTGTAAATATACAGTATTTGACCGATTTGTAGGAATTAAAAACATCTAAGTGTTCTCAGATTTTCATCCAGAAATGACAAGATGTCTAATCTTGGTCTTATCATTCTCTCCCAACATTTGTGCAAGATTTGGGTTTTTAAATGCTGCAGTCTTAAGCTTTTGATCAGCTGATGAACAACATGGTTCAGCTTAATGGTTGTTTGAAATAAAATGCTTACTCAGATGTTTTTTTTATTATTTTTTTATTTTTTTCTCTTTCCCATTTCTTCGTTTTGCATTTCAACGCTCTACTTAGAACCTTCTTGTGATCCAACAGGAAAAAATGTGAATTCTTGCCACATTTCAACTGGTCTTAAAATTCTGATCATAACATCATCATAAAACGCACGTGTGTGTGTGTGTGTGTGTGTGTGTGTGTGTGTGTGTGTGTGTGTGTGTGTGTGTGTGTGTGTG